GAGGGAGATCAACTGGGGCATTTGCCCCAGTCTAGTATTTATATCAAACTTAAGTCAGCACATTTACCACACTCCCCCCCTCACCGTTTACCTCTATGGCACTATGCTATGAGAATCTGAGTGAAAAAAATGTTGAGTCGGAAAAGCAGTGAAAAATTGCCCTAGTCTAGTAAAAACTGAAATGACGCTACTGTGGCTTTACTGCTTAAACAATTTACTGATAAATTTCCCAGTAAAAAAATTGTACATACGATTATATAAATTCCAGGAAAACCCGAAGATTAATATGGTACCTAATTATATTGTTTATTATAACTAAAGGTATAATGAGTGTAATATAATGAGTATAATGAGTGCATACAAATAAAACACCCAACAAGTAGAACGTAGGTATAACCACTCTTCTGTACAGTAAGTATCGAGTACCAGAGAGAGAAGACTACTGTATGGATATGTTGAATTTGAATATAATGATAAATCATTGTATACGATGAAAAACGAATCTGAGCTATGACGATCAATTAAAAACATATATTTTAACAATAATAAAAACGATTTTAACATAGGAATGCTCTTATTTTATTTTTTATCATTCCCAATAATAAAAAAAAAATTGAGAATTTTCAATTTTGACCTCCTAAAAATATAAATTATACTTCAATTTTTTACCAAAAACGTCTATCGAAATTTACGATTGGAGAGTTGTTTCACTAGAAAAAGTGTCCAAAGGCACAAAAATAAATTTAAAAAAACACACATCATTGTCTAAAACCAATAAGAACATTCCTCGTACCGCGTGTAAATTTAAATTTTCAACGCCATAATAATAATTATGTGTAATATACATAGTTATTTTCCTAAATCATCGGAGCACGGGGATCGACTCGTCGTACGCGTATAACAATATAATAATAATCCACACGAAAATAATATGATAAACACACAAGTCTGACGACATCGCGTCAACGTGCAGTCGATTTAAGGTCGGTTAATAATTAAGACCTACATAATGTACATAATAGTATAACGACCCGGTCTATTATGTCGATCGGGATTTAATGTGCGATCAACGAACTGTGCACCGCGGCGTGACATAACTCCCTCCGTCACATCGTTACGTCTCTATTTAGGTGCATTTCTCGCGACCGACATACGCACGGCAATATAATATGTATTATATTATATATTAATATATTATTATCATATTATATACATAGTAAATTATAAATTATTATTATCGTGATATTACTAGCGTGTTACCTATGTATTATACACGACCGGTCGGTTTCGGATTTTTGGAGCGATTATCGTAAAACTGCAAAATAACATTATGCGGAAAACAGAACCGATATAATATTAATACTATATCGACAACGACGACGACGCAGCGTGTTTTTTAAACAGATTTTTCTCTAGAACGGATAATGTAATGATAATTTTATAATAGGTACCTGTACAACAGCGGCGTGTAAAAGACTGATGGGAATGGGACGACGACGACGACAAAGACGTCGTCGTCGACGTGACAATATAATACTATTATGATAATACGGTACAAGACAATACGCTCGTCTGACGCAATACGGACGGATAAGTCGAAATGGTTTGGTGTGACCAATATATTATATGGGTAATAATATTATAATGTGATGTATATATTATTACGTTTGAAATGTTTAAACATTTTATTTAACCCTGCTACACAACAGTTGTAGTCCGTTGTAGGTATACACAAGTACTATAAGTATGTACAAGCTACTCACTATACTCGTCGGCGATTTATTTTTTTCACTTATATACCTACGTGCAATAGGTATAATGTATATATGTATGTATACAGCTGCAGTTGTTTTTGAGTAGTTATATATTATATATTATACGGAAAATCCCTGGGAACCGATTATGCTCGCAGGTGATAATAGAGTCGGAAATCCTTTGGAGTGAAGACTGGAGCAAAGAGAAAAAAAATGCATCTTATATTGTGTGTATCGTATGATAAAGAGAAAAAAAAATCGCGGGATTTTCAATTCGAAAAAAACAAAAGCCGGAATACTACTCGCTGCATCTGTGTCCGTTTCCATTATGCGCGATATATATACGACTTGTATATATATATATACAGACGTCAGACAGATAGACAGACGGACGGAGGGAGGTGGGATTGCGAGTAAAAAGGGAAAGTTTAAAAAGCTCTTATTCGGGATTATTCAGTCATATTTCTTCGAGAGTCGTTTTATACTTAACTTAACGCGTGTACCGCCGGTGTGCAGGGTGGGGTGAGCCGGGGCCTGCAGCCGTAAGACCTGCAGACGTTAATCCGGCAAAATACGAATATTCTTTTTCTCTAATGAAAAAAAAAACATCTCCTCTTTTCGAATACAACTGAACATAATTACCATACAATACTATAATATATTTCGCCGACTCCCGCAGATGAGATCAAGAATAATTCAAGACTATGTGCATAAGTCTCGTTGAGCGTATTGTGCCTACCTTCCTAAATCAAAATGGATTGCTGTGTGCGTATATATAAATTTATACGTGGACGTACCCCTCGGAAGTAATCTCGACAAACAAAGCGAATAGAGAGAGATGGAAAAAAAACCATATTTTACCCCAAAATTATTTGGCAGACTTCATATTTTATACATAGTTGGATCTACCTATCTATTTATTCTTTTGTATACAAATATTAAATTCCTATAAAATAGAAATAAAATATTATAAAATTGCCTCTCATTTATTTTTCATAATTAACGCATTAAAATATTATGTAGGTAGGTACTAAGTAATTTAACATTTTTTTTTTTAATTTGAGGCTACTGTGCATTATATAAGTCAAATAATACATTCGATTGATTTGTAACTACTCATAGAGCCTAGAGGTTAGTTGCAACAACTCAAATTTTTTATAAAACTTAATAATGTATAATATTATACATTTAGAGCTAATACAAATGAGAATTTATTTGCCACTTAAATCTATAAAATATGCTAAATATACAAAATTATACATTCTAAACTAATTTTATCATACCTATGAGAAAATAAGGTCAACAGATTTTATATACAATTTTCGAAATATTAAAGTAACATAATTTTATAATAAATAATAATTTATAGTTGATTTTAAAACAGAACATTTTAACATAATATTTATAATGAATTAATACAGTACAAGTTTAAAGTAAAAAATGTTTGGTGAAATTCTACAACGGGTAACGGCCCGTGACTTTTTTACAATAATATAATACAATATATAATAATATATAATATATATATATATATAAATGCTGCGGCGCGCATCGAAGGAAATAGTAATAATATCTAATCATTAAAAGCGAGCGGGTAATACCGGGGCTGCATGGGTTTTAATATCAAGGGTCAAAGGTACCGCGCGAAGCGTTATAAGAACACGTGATAAGTATGTGCATTTTTAATAATCCATATTCTAAGAAACACGAATAACATAATTGAGGCCTTTGGAAATATATAATACACAAATAACATTATTAAGTACGTAAAAGACGTCAGAAATGACCTCAGGTGGATGCGGTGAGTGTACCATTTTTTTTATACTAAAAATGCCATAGGAGGGATCTATTAGGAATACCGACGAGATACGTCGATGGACAAGTGTCCATCAGACGAACACCAACCGAGCAGCCGGCCTCAACTTGAACAGACACCAGATATATACTAAGTCACATCTCGTTTACCACAGTTTAATAAGTTAATTATTTTGGACTTAGACTATATTACGTTAAATTGAATACAAATAAATATAACATATACCATCAACTTCGTTATTTTATTCAAAATACTTCCAATACTGAGCTGAAGTAGTTGGCACGTTACAAATTTGGCGCTGTGAACAGGGTGTTTCAAAAAGATACTTAGAAGAAACCGGAAAACCAATTAAAAATTTTTTTTCGAATTTTTCGAAAAAACTTTGAAAATTTTGCGTCTTCTAAATTCATTCAAGGATCACCGTTGGGAGCCAGTACACCTTCCAACAACACCGAGAGCGAAACCTGAACAACGTAACAACCAACTACATTCCACAAGTTCAAATGGAAGTACCTGCCGCACCAGCCGCTTTGTTGTAAGTATATAACGTAAAATAATTCAGTGCTTGTCTCCTTTGGTATAGTACTTGACCATAGTATATATTAATAAGTGAAAAAACTAGTCGTGTTAAATTGAATAAGAATTATAGATACTTTGAATTTCGTTTTAATAAAATAAAATTGTATTTTTACTAAAAGTTATTAACTTTTAAATAATATTTAAATAAAATAATAATTTTACTATCATTTAAATAAAATTTAAATTAATAATTAAATAAAACAATAATTTTATTTACAGTAATTTACAATTGTTATAAATAAGGCCGCGTTGTAAGTCCTTCCGTGTTTAGAATTTTACGACAATTTTAAGTCGAGTTTATTGAATTTATTTTATAAGGCCGAAATAAGTCCTTACGTGTGGAAAGAATAGGTTGATTTTATATATAAAAAAAAAAAAAATATTTATAATTAATTCAATTGAATCAGTTAATAAGAGTTACTATTTTTGAATAGATGTCGTATTGGCTGATTAATTTTAATTAATGAAAAAAAAAATAAATAAGAGTAGCTATTTAAATTAAGTTTAATTTTAAATCGTATTAATTAATTAATTTAAATTAATTCTAAGATTAGACAAGTTAAGTTAAAATTTTTATTATTAATTAATTTACTTTGAATACATTATTAAATAAATAGATTTGAATAAATTATTGGAGCAATCGAGTTAATTATAGATAACTAATAATAGTTGCTATTATTTATTTATTTGTTTATTTGTTTGTTTGTTTATTTTGATTGTTTGTTTAATCATTTATTTACTTATTGTTAATAAATTATACGTATTGTTGTTATTATATATTTAAATAGGTTTCATCAACCTATATTGTACATTCACAGTTAGAACCAACTAAACGAATCAAAAAAAACAAAATGTTCAGTTTTTTCCAAATTATTTCTTTGTTTAGTTTAATTGTAATCAACACAACTGTTAAATCTGATTTTGTACTGCTTGAACCGTATTGTGATAATTCATTTACTGTCACTGAATATGAACCATTTACCGATTTATCTGATAACCATCTTACTAAGCGATTTGCTTGGATTCCAGTTGCAATGGCATACCTATATGCTACAGATGTTGCTGTAATAGCTTTAGAAACGAAGATGGATTCCCAGCGGACAAGAGAAATTGAATCTCGGTTATCTTCCCTTCAGAACTTAACATCTAGTCATATTAAGCTGCTTAATACTTATAATCAAGCTTATGAACACTATTTAGCTCTGAATCTCACTTTGAGCACATATTGTAAAGACAAACTTGCGAATTCAACAACTGAAAATCTCAGACAAGTGTTGACTGATTGTTGTCAGTTTTTAGGTGGTTTGAAAATACGGAATGGTGCTGTAACACTTCCTACTTGTTCCCAATTAAATAAGAAGAGCATTCGAAAAAGAAACCTTGCGAATGCAGGAAAAGTGATCCTGAAAGTATTGGCTCCGACTGCCACCGTTTTATCGACTGGTGCTCTTGTTTATTCGTCGATTGAGGCGAACGAGAGGCATAAAGAGTCCATAAGGAAATTGGACGAACAAGCAGAAAGTTTTAATAAAACAATGACTAATCTTCAAAAATCTGTTGACGTTTTGAACCTGTCCACTACTGTTATCTGATGCCATAAATGATATACTTATTAAAGATCATTAATACATTCTATACAATTATTAAGGATCATCAATACATTCTGTCATATTAATATTACATTACACGTTAACCATTATATTATGATTGGTTAACTTCTTTTAATAATTGGCTGACTTCTTTCGATTCTATAAATTAAAAAATTTTATTATTATTAAACAAACATGATATATTTTACATTTCATATTTGATGTGTTTTCTTAGGGTCTTTTACATCATCTTAAAATATGACCCAAGTTTCAAATAAATTAACCAGATCTTATCACTTCGATTAGAAGGTTTAAATTCCCATGTCGTTCTTAGGAACGATTCTAACTGCAATTAAATTTCTTTTAAAATACTTTCTTAATATCTTTTCAATTAAAACAGATAAAATAAAAATAAAAAAATAAAAATAAAAATAAAAAATAATTTAAAATAGATATTACAGTTTATTACTACTGTCTGATAAATTGAAATTGACATGGAGCATGGTTACATGACCTTTAGTAAGACTGTAACCATGTGACATGAAAATAGAAATTAACAAACATATATTATAAATATAGGATAATCCATAACAATATATTTGTTATGATGATATGAATTATTTGTCTTATGTAGATTGTTATGAATTCCCATCATTCAAGGGTAACTCCTAGAGAGTTAGCTAACCAATTAACCCAAATTAAATTGAATCTACCAGTAAATCGAAATTTGCCCATGGGGACCAAACCGAATGAAATTTATGAACTAAGTAAAATGACTAAAATGGCCGTATATTATTGCGAAAATCAAATTGTTTTCTTAATTAAAATACCCTTAGTAATTGAATTAGAGCTGACATTGTTCAAAATAATACCTATCCCACACAAATTTGATTTCCATCATGGTGTAATTTAAAACCAGGATTCCAGTATGTAGGAATAACCAGAAATAGGAAACAGTTCACGACATTCACTGAAACCCAATTACTAAGCTGTACAGAAACTGACATTTTCAACACATGTCCAGAATGAAAAAACCCGTACAACATGAATCAGTTAGGCAACCATGTGAAGTTTCATTATTCAAAAATCCGGACGAGCTACCTAGTAACTGTGAGGCAGGAATCATAGTAATTACCAAAAATATATATCATAAATTAAAATATGCCAATACGTGGATTTATACCACTACCAGTGATACCTTAACCATAACGTGTCAAGGCGAACAAGAAACATACATAGTAAAATTTCAGAATCAAGGGTTAATAAATTTAAAACAAGAATGTAGTCTTGAATCCCACTAGAGAAGTTGAGTCTAAATATTATGTAAATTTCATACCCAAACTAGGTATAGGAAGTTTGACACTAAGAATTAAACAACTCGATGCAATAACAGTACCAAAATATACCCAGAAACATGATTTATTAAAATTAGATAATGTACATGAGTTAGCTCATTCATTGAGTGATATTCAATCGATGATAGACAAGGAAATGGATAGGCAGAGTGGAAATGCAGAAGATACTAAATATTATATGACTTACGCACTATTAGGATTGATTCTATTTTTATTAATTTTATTGCTAGTATTATACGTACTGTATCGATCCACCAATGTTTTAAAAATAGCGAGTACCAGGAGGACAAGACAAATAAGTGAACCAATTAGTAAAAGTAAATTTTATACACAACAAGTGTATGAAACAATGAGCAGAGATAATCCACAATCATACGAACTACAAGGACCTGTAGTGCAATGTAAGTCGTATGAAGATAATGAGATAATTAAAAACAGAAATATGCAGGGTAATAAAGTAACAGGTACAAGTAAATTAATTACAGGTGCTAAATTGCCGTCAATAATAAATGAAAGATAATGTAAAAATAAATTTAAACACACACTTATTAAAATATACTGGTCTGTATTTCCATTGGAGATATTAAATATTACCATTAACCAACATTTTTGTAATCAATGAATATATATGTCTGTAAACTAACATGAAATTTATTATTATATCAAATGCCATTGTAGCATTACTGTATTAATTATCAATGTAGCATTGTTTTACCCTTAGATCATATACAATTGTATATGATCTAAGGTTTTACCAAATTATTAATTATTCTATTACTATGTTTAAAATCATAAAAAAAATATATATATATATATTGTTATGCAAATGAAAATTATATTAATATGTTCAATTATGTGTAATCAAAATTATATTGTAAGTAAAAAGAGATTATTATGTCTTGAAAAGAAATTATGTAAAATGGTCGTTATAACAATTATTAATGATTTATAATATTATATTGTAATTGTAAAACTTATGTACTATGTATTTATGTATATTGTCCATGTCTTTATGAAAACATTCCTTTATGGACGATTTTAAAGATTTTTGTAGTTCTGCAAATTGTAGCCCTACAAAAATCTTTGAAAGGGCGATGAGGTGTAACGGGCTGTGACTTTTTTACAATAATATTATAATATAATACAATATATAATAATATATGTATATAAATGCTGCAGGGCGGCGCAAATCGAAGGAAATAGTAATAATATCTAATCATTAAAAGCGAGCGCGTAATACCGGGGCTGCACGGGTTTTAATATCAAGGGTCAAAAGTACCACGCGAAGCGTTATATGAACACGTGATAAGTATGTGCATTTTTAATAATCCATATTCTAAGAAACACGAATAACATAATTGATGACTTTGGAAATATATAATACACAAATAACATTATTAAGTACGTAAAAGACGTCAGAAATGACCTCAGGTGGATGCGGCGCGTGTACCATTTTTTTTATACTAAAAATGCCATAGGAGGGATCTATTAGGAATACCGACGAGATACGTCGATGGACAAGTGTCCATCAGATGAACATCAACCGAGCAGCCGGCCTCAACTTGAACAGACACCAGCTATATACTAAGTCACATCTCGTTTACCACAGTTTAATAAGTTTATTATTTTTGACTTAGACTATATTACGTTTAATTAAATACAAATAAATATAACTTATACCATCAACTTCGTTATTTTATTCAAAATACTTCCAATACTGAGCTGAAGTAGTTGGAACGTTACACTATAAAGCATCAAAGCATTAATACATAACATATATCATGTATTGCCGTTTTTTTATTAAAAATTAAAAGTAATATTTACAATAATCATATCATTATTATGTGTTTGAAAAATAAACGTTTCCCGTGTAAGAAGGGAGCGTCCTGTGACACCTCTCTTCAAGGATAATAATATGGACTCTGGGCTTAATCATATATAATACCTTTATATACATTTTTGCTTTTAAATATTATAACAATAATTGTAATTTGTACATATTATATATTTACGTTTTATTTCTATTACTTAAATAACATTTTTGTTTCACTCTAGTCTGAAAGGCCGGTTTGTTTACCTTTCTGGCTTTTGAAAACATATAGTATCTACTATGGCGTGTGTAATGAATCGGTTGAATGCCTATACAATTTTGAACGCTAAAAAAATAATAGACTCATGACAGGCTTGATGGATATATGAAAAGAAAATGTTACTATGTATAACATGTAGGTATTTACCTTTATATACTCTATTATATCAATAAAGTAATTATTTAGAAATATTACTCATGAAAAACCACTGGATATCTTGTTTCACGGTTTTGAGTAATTCGAGCGCATTTAGGGTTTTTATTTTATTTTTATTATTTGCGACCCATTAACGATATATTATATCAATACGAGTACCTATACCTACATAATATATTATAAGTACATCTGCACTGACGGCAAAACTCGCGATCGTCTCGTATGTAGGCTGCAGGTATATAAAACGACAGCACTCATATTATTAATATATAAAAGTGTATTCCAAAAATGTTCGTGTTACCGAATCTGGGATCAAATCAAACACATCCGGAGACGGGAAACGTCCGTTTTCCCCCTCCCCCCCCCCCAAAAAAAAAAACGAAACACAAACCGGTCGACTCGAATTACAAGTATATTTATATTTGTATATACATACATTGGGCTTCTGGCCCGTAAATAAATAAATAAATATAATATACACACACAATCACATCCTGCTCCATCATACACCTATTATAGGTACATAACATTTATATATATTTATATAAATGCCTTATCTATCGGCGACTAAAATTATCTGTCATATACCATCTGCGGTGGCGCGTCGTAACTACCTATGGGAATAATTTCTATTTTTTTTTTTTAAATAATCCGTATAATAGGTATATATTATAGGACTATTACAATAATATACCGACGGACGACACTACGGTGATAACCGTTTGATTTACTGCGTTTGGACACGGTATCGCGGCGTCAACGGCGGTGCACTTATACAATATATAAACAGTAAACACGACGGTTGGTTCACGTCATCATATAATACAACTACACACATCGACGAATATAAATGTAAACGATATATCGTATTCCTATTTCGCCCGACAACCTATACCTATATGGCTGATTATAACACGCGGCAAGATGAAAACAACGCGTCCTTTTTGCCGGCGGTATAAGTGCGTTTTAGAGTCGTATTATATATACAAGACTCGTATAAATTGTATATAGTAATAGTAATGATGATGATGTGTACGAACTGCAGCAATCGACCGAAAAGGGTTTTAAATTAAAAGGAAAAAAAATCGTTATCGCAATCGTATACATTTCGTTTTCGTATTTTTTACCCGGCGTTATAATATTAGTCTATAAATTGAAATAGGTACGCGTTCATCCGAAAATCGTCGAAAAACGATATCGGCTTTCCCGTAAAAATGTATTAAGTCTTTATCGTGAGTATATGAAAATTTACACTGAAGAATACAATAAACTATGTGTTTCTAAACACAGATTTATTAAGACCATTGCACGCACGCAATGAGAACGAGTTGTGACAAATCGGAAAATTTTTTAGATATAATATCTGTGCTAGTAAGATCCGTCAGATTAAAATAAAAATCCT